CTCCCCACCCACCCCGCCAGATCGAGCACTACAGCTACGTCGACGGCATGCCCGCCCTGCTGCGCCGCCTGCGCTCTGCCGGCTACGCCCTCCACGCCATGAGCAACTACCCCGAGTGGTGGCGCCACATAGAGGCCAAGCTGCGCGTCAGTGACCTCATGCAATGGAGCTTCATCTCATGCGAGGGCCCCATGAAGGTGTGGGGTTGGGGGATTGGGAGGGGCGCACCTCGCGATTCGGCGGCTTCTGTTGTGGTGCCGAGCGCTTGCTTCGTGAGTGTTGAGCGCGGTGGGTGTGCGGGTGCGCACATTTGCACGCGTGTGTGTGTGTTGTGTGTGCGTGTGTGTGTGCGGAGGGTTCAGGTGCGTGGACGTGTGTTGTGCGCATGCATCTGTGTGCGTGTGAAGTTGCAGAACTAGGGTGCTCCACGCGCGGATGATGATGACTCACACATTTGAGGTGCAAGCCCACTGGATCAAGGGGCTGCACCGTCGGCTGAAAATACTCGATGCTTGAACGCTTGGCTTCTGACGCACGCGGAGCAACCCGACCCCAACCGTCCCTTTTGTTGTGTGTGCCTGCTGCGGCCGCGCGGCCTGGCCTGCTCCTGCCCCATCCTCCTGCCCTCGCTCCACCGACCTCCCGCTTGTCCCTGCGATTCATGCGATCGCAACCGCAGTGTGCTGAACCCTCAATTCCTTCACCCCTGCCCCCGTCCCCCAGGGCCTGCGCAAGCCCAAACCTGAGTCCTACCATGCAGTGTCATCCGCCCTGGCCCTGCCCCCCCAGCAGCTGATCTTCGTCGACGACAGGCGGCCCAACGTCGACGCGGCGCACGCCCTCGGCTGGGGGGCGGTGCACTTCAAGGGGGCCGCGCAGCTGGAGGACGAGCTGAGGGCGCGCGGCCTGGATTTCTGAGGGGCCATGCAGCCGCCAGTGCTTGCCCCCCCCAGCTGGCGGCCTTGATGCTGCAGCGCACCTGCTCCAGATTGGAGCGCCCCCGCTCCCCCCTCCTCAACTGCCTCTGCCCGTCTGTATGAAACGCACGGCAATCATTGTCTCCCGCAATTTTGGCTACGTGAGTGTGCACAACTTGAGGGGCAAAGAGCTCAGCTGTCAGTTTCAACATGTGTTTTTTGTACAACCTCCCCAGCACGCTCACCTGAGCGCTGTCACATCCTGACGCGTGCAACGTGCCTCATCACCCCGAGTGGCGCGCGCCGTCCTTGGCGCCAGCAGAACCGCAGCCCTGTGGCCGCAACCCCCTGCGCCGCCCTTCTCTATCCTTGTCCGGTGCAAGAGTGTGTACGATGTCAATCTACCCTGCGGCGCTGCCATCTGTGGCGACCACCCCTCGCATGCGCCTGTACCTGCATCCCTGCTTCTCTCAGTCGCTGCGGATCACAGCCCCAGTGGCAGGCAGGTGCTTGCACATGCACACAGTAAATAAGTCGACATGTTTGGCCCCATTTTTGGCAGTGCATTGGCAGATTGTCAGCTGAAGTTGGCAGCAGCCCCTAATCACACCATGAACGGCAAGAGGCAGAACAGGGAAGGAAGGGAGCGGCACGTACTAGACTGCGCCAGTACTCTCAGCATCATACAGTACGCCAGAGCTTGAGTCCGGCTCAAATAACAAAAACAGCCAGGTCGCAAGGAACCAACCACAATGCGCACGCAGCCAGGGGAAGCCTTGCGCGCAGGTCCCTGGTGGTGTGGGCTCGGGAGGTGTCGTCATGTTCGGTTGACCGCCCGCGTGTGTTGTTGTGGCGCCGCGTCGACACCAGCACGTGCCCCAATTGAGCAATTTGTGGACTCGCCTACGAAATTGGGGTACATGCTAACGCAATATACTAGTGGTTCCGCCGCGGGTCTCTGACACCGACTTCGGGCAAGGTCGCTGCGCGCGACAAGCTCAAAAATGACTTTCGCAAACGCGCTCAGATGCATGCGCGACTCTGATAGCACGAATCTCGTGGCGCGGCAAGCAAGGCGCACCCTGGCATTGCGGTCATGGCACACGCCCATGGCGCGCCGTGCGAGCGCCCAGCGGCAGAGGCGATGGTCAGCCCGCAGCGACCTGGACGGAGCGCAGCCCAGCCATGGCAGTGGCACTTGCCTACACAGTGTTGCCCACACCGTCAGCGCAATCCGCTCCACTGCTGGGAGCAGCCAACGGCCGCGCTCCGGTGACACCAGCGACCCCTGCGGCACGGTCACCACTGAATGCCTTAGCAGCGGCGAGCCCTCCGCCTCCGCGTCCCTGTGCGCGGAAGCCTCCAGCCGTCACGCGCCCTGGGCGGCGGGGCCGACCCCATACAGCAGCTTGTCCCACCACCAGAGCCAGGTGGGCCGCAACGCAGTGCGCTGGACCAGCCGGGGCGCTGCGTGCAGCTTGGACAGCACTGGGACCTGGCAGTCAATTGTGAGGGTGCCCGTCCAGCATGGCGCCACCCCTAAGACTGCTGCCCGCACACACAGTGGTACCCCTTTGCCGACCCTGCCTCCACCCCGCGCCGCTGTAGCCACGACAAATTTCTTGAAATCGAACAAAAACAACAAAAAAATCCGCCGCCGATCCATCCCCCCTGGCCGGCAACACGCGCAGCCTGACGCGTTTGAGCAGGGGCCGGCGGAGGCCGGGCTGGAAGAGCGCCTCGAGCTTCTGCGCCACGTCCTGCCAGACGCCGGCCTGGAGGCGGCCTGCGTCCCTACCCCAAGCGGCGGGGCCGCCGAGCTGGTGGGGCGGCGGGGGCCAGCGGGTGTGGGGCGCGGGGGCGACCAGCCCTCGCTTGGCGGCCAGGGCCCATGCTGTGGCATGCGCGAAAGTTGACGGCTGCGCGCACACGCCAACGGCGGCGCGCTGTGCCTGCACGTGCCTCGTGCCGGCCGTGCAACGGGGCTCGCCCATGAGCGGCGCGTGGCTGCGGCCCAAGCTTGACCGCGTTGACCCCGCGCGCACGCCCGCAGGTGCAGCTCGGCGTGCAAGCGGGGGCTGCGGCGCTCAGCCTGCTGGTGCTGCGTGCGGAGCTGCCTTCTGCCGACGCGTCGGCCATGGCGGCGCGCCACCCCTACCTCCTCAGCCTCCCGCCAGAGGAGCTGCGGGCCGCGGTGAAACAGGTGGGTGCCCCCCCACGCCCGACAAAGGGTGTAACGTCACCTGTACAAGCGCGTCGGGCAGCATGCATAAGGGACTACTTCTGCGGGCCGCCAGCCCCACAGGTCTGTTGCGCCTGGAGGGCGCTGGCAGGAGAGGCTTCCCGCCGCGCACCCACCGCCTTGCTGCCGGTGCCCGTGCCCCTGCCTCCCCTCCGCCTGCGGGGCCCGCAGTTCCGGCGGCTGCTGCTGGAGCACGGTGGCAGCGACCCAGACGCGCTCGCGCAGGTGTGGGGCCCCCGCAAATTCTAGATTGCGAGCGCGTGCGACGGCGGGAGGTTCTAGGGGATGACGGGAACGCTTAGCTCGATGGGTTCACAGGCACAGGCAGCCCAAGGGGTGTGTCGCCGTCCAGACTCTTGAGCGCACAATCTGAAGCTCGTCCATGCCATTCGTTACTGTGCTTGCAAATGCGGCCGTCGTCTGAAGCGGCCTGCACAGCTGGAGCTGAAGCGATATGTTTGCGCAACCTCTGCTGTTGCCCCTCATCCCACGCAGGCTGCGCCCCTGCTGCTGGAGCCGGGGGTCATGGCCGGCGTGCTGGGGGAGGTGCACCGGCAGCTGGGCGGCCGCAGCCCGCCCGGCCAGCTGCTGCAGCGCGCACCGCACCTGGCGCTCAGCTGCCAGGTCTGTGGCCGCGCTGGCGCCCTGGGGGCGTGCATGCTTCGTTTTGCAGAGTGCTGGGCTGCGGGCTGAACAATAATGGTTTCAAGCGCACTGCCAGGAGAGTCGTGCAGAGCCAGTCGAAACGAGCACGTTGGGGCACAACTGCCTTCGCCCCCAAATCCTCCTGCTCTCCCGTGAACACACTTCCCCCCCACCCTCGCCCGCCCCAGGCACCGGGGGCTCAGTCCCACGGCGACTGCGGCGTGGCGCACGTTAAGCGTGTCTTTGGCTGCGGCCAGCACGGCCTTGTCAGCAGGAGTGGGATGGGCGGCAGTACCTGGGTGTGACACGCCACCCTACGTACACATGTACCAACGGACGCCAGTGGCCACTGGCGCGGCGCGGGGATAAGTCTGACGGAGCTCACCCTTGTCTGTAAATCTTTTGCCATGGAGGGCGAGCGACGCCGCCGGTGCGATTGACGGCGCCGCTGACTTGGGGGCTTGTCATGGCGCGTGGCCCGGGATTTCAAGAGGAGGCGCCAGGATCTGATCAGGCCGGGGCTGAGGTTGGGTTGTGCCGGCAGGACCGAGAGACATATGCAGCTGGCGGTGCCTTGTTGCACAGCAAGGGCTGTGCGTAGGACTCACAACCGCATGGAGCCAGGTCCAGCAGGGTTCAGCAGCAAAAGACTAGCATCACAACATAAGGCATCAGGTTTTGCCGGAAGCAAGGGTTTTGCTTTGTGAAAATGGGTTTCCCTTGGACTTGGGCCGCGGGGGCTAGAGCGCGTACATCTGGCAGGCTGGAGAGTTGCGCAGGCCTCTGTCCAACGGAGCGGTCAGAACAGCGGTCGTCTGGGTGACGGAGGACGGGGAATCCTGTGGCAGCCAGGTCTTCCCACGCAACAACAAAAGCAGGAACACAGCCGCTTGCTTGCTGGGCAGCGCCCCACTTGCACACTGGCCACGGGCGGCGCTCCCCAGAAAAGCGGCGCGACGACGCTTCCACAGCGTGCCAATGTACTGCAGCCCTTGCCTGTCAGCGGCACCAGCTCCTTGCTTGCGCTGCCATTGCACGTGCGCTGTGTTCCAGCGAGGTGCGGCAGCTGCGCCCGCCTCTTGTTCCGCCCAAGCACATACAGGCTGGGGGCTGCTGGCCCTGTGCGTGGAGCACTTCAGAGGGGGCGCTGGGCCGCGGACTGGTGGTCGCGCAGAAGGCGGTCGCAGGCGCAGCGGTCGAGAAAGCCAACTTTGGGTACCATGATTTGGGGTCGTTGGCCGCTTCTGAGTGAGTCATGGACTGCCTCGAGATACCACATTGTGCCAGCATGGCAACCTCTCTAATGGGCCGGCGCCCGCGATGGTGACCGTTGGCCGATTTGGGGCATGCTGTGTCATGGCGCCCGCGAGCACCCGCGCGGCGACCACCGAGCGTGGGGGTGGCGCGCGCGGGGATCGGATCCGTCCATGGGGAGCGAGTCGACAAATCGTGGCACGCGTACAGCCCATATGTCAGACAGCCTGACACGCAGGTTTATCTTGCTCAATGTACTTCGATATTACCATAGCAAGGGCTTTCATACCACCAGACCCGATTTAGGCAACCCGCCTGGCCAACGTATCGAAGCGCCGAGACGCTAAACCGAGCACCAAAATCTGTTAAGCGAATATTGCGCTGTCTTGACGAGGCTCGCAGTGTGAGACGGACTGGGGTGACGCGCGGGAGGAGAAGCGCGGGGTAAGGTGAGAGGGGCGGTGCTGGACAGCTTTTAACGCCATTATGGTGCACGGGTCTCCCCTCTGGCGCTGGCGAGCAGCTCTGCTGGTGCGCCCGCAGGGCGGCGCCCGCATGGCGAGATCCGGCCTGATTTTTGGAGCGTCGCCCCTCCGGTCGACAGGCCTGTTGAGGGGGCTTGGCGATATCGCTTGGCGGAGTCAAGTGTAGATCCCCTTTTCAGCATACTTGTAGCGACGTGGTCGCGGCAGGCAGGTGCGCGCGCACCGCTAGGGTTGGGCGGCGTAATGGACAGCTTGATCAGCGCTCTACCAGGCAGGGCGCCACATCCTTTTTACAACCAGGCCTGCATGGAACCCCAGCGCGTTACCCAAAGTACGAGTTGTGGCGTGAACCGCCTGGCAGGCGCCCCAACAACCCCACTCCCATTGCACGAGGCCGCGCGGCGCCCCCCGATGCAGCGCCTCGGCCGCCGCTCGCCTGACAACGCCCCCCTCACCCGCCCCAACCAACGCCGCAGGCCCCAGCGGGGGCCGGCCCCCTCGCCCACACCGCCCCATCCAATGACTGAGCCGCGCCAGCTGGCCGCCAGTTGCCCCGCGAGCGACCCGGGCCACCCGCTCGGCGCGCCGCACCCCAAGCGGCCGCGCACCGGCGCCGAGCCGCGCCGCGGGCCCTGCCCGGGCGGCGGCCCGGAGGGCGGCACGGCGTTGCCAGAGGCCGGGGCTGCGTTTGCGTTCGCTAGCAATGAGGAGGCCGAGGCGGTGTTGGGTATGGTGCGCCTAATGGGCAAGCGGGGCGCCGCGGCGCACGGCCGTGCGTCGCTGCCCGCCGCGCCTCCCCAGGTAGCGCCACGGGCCGCCGTGCGCAGCCAGCAGCAGCAGCAGCAGCGGAGCGAGCCTGCGCACCAGCCATCCACACCCCCAGCGCCGCGGCCGCATCCCGTGAACCAGCAGCAGCAGCAGCAGCAGCAGCAGCAGCAGCAGCAGCAGCAGCAGCAGCAGCAGCAGCAGCAGCAGCTCGCGCGCAAGCGCAGCCGCGCGTGGCTCGCCGCGGCTGCCCCCGCCGGGCCGGGCGGCGGCGACGAGAGCGACTCTGCTAGCAGCAATAGCGCGCCACCCTGCAGCGGCGGCGGCGGCGAGCGCGAACCCGAGGGCGAGGAGGCGGGGGCGAGAGGTGCAGACTGCGACGAGGGCCGCGCCCCCGCCGGCGCCTGCGCCTCCGGCCGTGCGCCCGGCGGCGTGTGGGCGGCGCCGCGGCCTCCGTTTGGCCCGGCAGTGCCCCCCTTCATGCAAATGGCCCCCTGGGGCATGGGTCCCTGGTGCATGCCGCCCCCGTTTTGGTGCCCGCCGCCCCCAATCCACCCCGCGGCGATGATGATGGCGATGGGCCCCCCGCCGCCGGGAGTGTTCTTGCCGCCCGGCATGATGACGTACCC